TCAGTTTTGTTGCCAGATAGAAGGGTAAAAAAACAATTACCAGATAGACACTTCACATACTCGAGCAACACGATGGCTGTCAGAGCTGACAAGGGGCTTGAAGTGAACACACTTTGATGTTGAATCGCAAATGACGACTGCTTTGCTGACATCTCTGCTATGTTCTCTACAGATGTGCATTTCTTTTACAACAGAAGGGTGAAGCTTTCGTTAATGAAATAATGATGCAGCATCCACGGTTGTCAGAACTTATGGTAATGTACACTTGTTTTGTTGAGTATTATATAATGTACTTACATTAAAAACACAGTTCCCGTTGGCCTTAAATGTAGTAAAAATACATTTGTCTGAGCCAACTTTCGTTTCTTGTAGTTGATGTAGATTTATGTTTATACGGTATTTAAAAAAATGTTTTAGGTGATTGGGTTTGCTCTGAATTCTGTTTGTTATTTTGAAGCTTTTGGTGTGTCATTGTTTTGCGCTGATTTCAATTTATTCATTCGGTTCTGATTTCTATTGGCTTCGATGTATGTCATTTACGCGATTGCTTTTGTCATTTTGGTGACCTAGGCCAATGAGTTCTCAGCTGTTAAACAAAATAGACTAAAGTTAAACTAAGCAGTACCTTTAGTAAAACTTCCCTCCCTTTATTACTGCTAATCCTACATAATACACTACGAGCACAATATGACTTTGAGACCCCCTACCGCCTACACATTCCACAAGGAGTGACTCACCCCATGTCTGCATTTGTTATCATGCTAAATTCCCCTGTTGATATGTAAACTCCTTTGTCAAGGCGCTCTCCTCCTCCCACCCAGCTTAAATACCCTGCCAAGCTTAGCGGTGTTCATTAGGACGCTGTCTTTCCGACAGCTGTTCTTCACCTGAGGACGGCTGCTTGCATTGTGGCCGAAACGCCGTGAGAATGTTATTGTTTTATTTTTATTATTTTATTATTTCCCTTGTACGTGACTTTACCGAAAGAACCAAGAATATTAAACTAAGCATGTGTAACGGGTTCCGGAGACACTTGTAGAGGTAACTTCTTTATTACAATACAACACTCCAACCTTTCAACTCTCCAACAGTCCTGATACTCTGTTACAGCCTAGGTACACAGCCTAGCTACACAGCCTAGATACTCTACTCTGGCTACGCTCTGGAAGGTCGTAGTGTCGGGAGTTCCAGAGTCCCACCACTGGCTCTCACAGCATCCCAGGGTCTTCCGATGGCTGGTCGTGGGTCTTGGGTCTTGAGTTACAACTGGGCCCCGATCGTCCAGGGAGCTCTCCTTTTATGCCTAGTCCAACGAGGGGTGGGGCCGTGTGCGCCACCAGACATCCCACAGAGCACACACAGCCCCCCCCCCGTTGGCGGCGCCCAGGGGATTAAGCGCCTGGGAACTCAACGCCTGGCGCCCAGAGGCTTAAGCGTCTGGACCCCCTGGGAACCCAGCGCCTGGCGCCCAGAGGCTTAAGCGTCTGGACTCGCCTGGGATCCCAGAGCCCCCAGCAGCCCCTCCCTTCTTATGTCACTACACATGCAACAGAAATGCTGTAAATCACTCAGTGTAAGAATATACAATATTTGGTTGGTTACCAATATGCTTCATTGTAAATAGAGCCGAGAATAACGGGCAAAGTTGTGATTTTTACTTTTAGAAAGCATGGCTTGTACCATTTATATATATTTTTATTTGTGTAACACCAGTGATCCAAATGCTTTTAATTGACAAGATCCTGCTTTTTTAGGATGAGGTATTCAGACAGAGATCACAGAATGCAGCAGCACAAGATGTGAATGGTAAGGTGATATATTTTTGTACACAACAGGATTGTCATGTTTTTATATTCATTTGTGCCAAAATGTGTACATCTGTGCATCTCACAAGGCTATCCTTACAACACATTTGAACTCTTTATCCAAAGTGCACGTTTAATGTTTGGTCGTTTTTTTTAAATCCGCTAATTGCATGTTTTTGCAAGCGTCGTCTTTGCGTGCAGGCATCGGCTGCGCTGATGAGACCTTGATGAAGAGCGATGTGGTCAAGGGTGTGCTTGAGATGGGCTTCCTTGCACCGGTGGTGGAATCTCTGGTGCGCACTCGCTACCTCACTAAGGGGGAGACGTACAGCTCTGTCGTTGAGCTCGTCAAAGACCTGCTTAATGCAGAAGAAGAATCCCCGAAGAAATCCGCAAATTACATTCAGGGTACATACTCAGCAACAGAAACTGAACTTGCAATTTCCATTTGCCTGTAATTTTGTTGCTGATTAAATTGAGGAAAATACGGATAGTCATTGTGTGGTACACATCATAGCAGGCGAACGGGTGTCGTGTTTTTGATTGATCAGATAGGTATGTCAAGGCATAATTGTATTATAGATAACACTGGTCAACAACAACAACAAAAAATTCTGGCCTGGACTTTTGCAGCTGTTCTAGACTAATTCCAGGGTGCTGATTCCAAATCTGATCTCAAATTTGCTCCATCACATCTCATTTTTATGTTATCGGCATACCCCATTTTCATTGATTATACCCGAAATTAACTCTGTCACTTATGATTGCAAGTTGTTGCGAGTCAGTGACTGCTTTAGTGTTAAAATATGGTGCTGTATTTTTAGGATAGTGTGTTGATAATATCATTTTATGTAGATATCCACATCTATTTAATATTTTTCTTCTGCAGTTTTCATTGAAAATGCAATATTTTATATCTCAAAAACCTGACGTGATAGACACAAACTGATGCCAGATTTGGAATCAGCAGCGCCCCAAAATTACATTACAGCCGTTGGAATACCTTATGCCAGAAAAAGTGTGTTGACCAGTGTAATATACCATACTGAAAACCAGTACTCGGCTCAGCTTTATGCGAACATGGTTGTGATTGCCTATGTTGAACGTGCCGTGTGGATGTATCTTCAACAGAACAACAGAAGCCTGCTGCTGCTGCTGCTGAGAAAAAGGAACTAAAAAATGAAGAATGTAAATATTCCATTCCAGAAATTATACAAATACATTCTTTGGTTCTTTCGGTAAAGTCACGTTTAAAGATAAAATAATAAATTGAATAATAGCATAATGCGACGTTTCGATTGCAACACAAGCAATCATCATCAGGTATAAAAGAAATAGCAACACAAATCTCAAGAATTGTTCTCTCTCTGTGTATCTTTGTGATATCTGGCTGCTTATATGTCTGTCTATAGTTTTCTGGTTAGATTTTATGTCGCTATTTCTTTTATACCTGATGATGATTGCTTGTGTTGCAATCGAAACGTCGTAGTATGCTATTATTTAATTTATTATTTTATCCTTATACGTGACTTTACCGAAAGAACCAAAGAATAATTCCTGCAGTCACGAAAGCTCCAAAATTAAGATTATACAAATACATTTATGATGGTTATGTAATTAATCTCGAGAATTGATTTACCAACAATGTAGCCCTGTCATTGGATCGTCGGTATTATTCCAAGTTACTTTACAGTTGCTATTAGTCGTCGTCATTAATATGCACGTAGGCTCTTAATGATCAACCATCGTTTGTGAAAAGCTGAAAGTGTGCGTACTTGTGTGCTCTCCGTGGTAGCGCTGCTGCTGGAACAGGAGCTCAAGCGGCTACAGGAACAGCACACGTGCAAGGTGTGCATGGACAAGGACGTGTCCGTTGTGTTCGTGCCGTGCGGGCATCTCGTCGTGTGTCAGGACTGCGCCGTCTCTCTGGGCAAGTGCCCCATCTGCCGTGCGATTGTCAGAGGGACAATTCGTACGTTTATGTCGTAGGCAGATGGGCAAGTAAAACAATATATACATGGAGACTGTCTCTATGCAATTTATGAATGAAGTGTATTTACATACCTTATCATTTATTACATAATAAAAAAATAAGAAAAATTATAACAATTAAATAGTACAATTCTCACGACGTTTCGGCCACAACGCAAGCAGCCGTCCTCAGGTGAAGAACAGGTCTGTCGGAAAGACAGCATCTGAATGAACACCACCAGGCTTGGCAGCAATATATACGCTGCCAAGCTTGGTGGTGTTCATTCAGACGCTGCAGCATTGTGGCCGAAACGTCGTGAGAATTGTATTATTTTTTTAAATGTAATAAACGATAAGGTATGTTAATACACTTTATTCATAAAAGCATATATATAACGTCGTGAGCATTGTATTTTATTATGTTTTTTTTTATTATTTCCCTTCTACGTGACTTTACCGAAAGAACCAAGAAGATGAATCCCTGCAGTCACGAAAGCTTTAAGTCGAAAAGGTTTCTAAGGTAATTTTGGGGTGCTGATTCCAAATCTGGCATCAGTTTTTGTCTATCACGTGAGGTTTTTGAGATATCAAATATTGCATTTTCAATAAAAACTGCGGAAGAAAAATATTAAATAAATGTGGATATCTACATAAAATGATATTATCAACACACTCTGCTAAAAATACAGCACCATATTTTAACACTAAAGCAGTCACTGACTCGCAACAACTTGCAATCATAAGTGACAGAGTTAACTTCGGGTAAAATCAATGAAAATGGGGTATGCCGATAGCATAAAATGAGATGTGATGGAGCAAATCTGAGATCAGATTTGGAATCGGCAAATTAGTCTAGAACAGCTGCAAAAGTCCAGGCCAGAAAACAAAGTTTGTTTTGTTGTTGACCAGTGTTACTTAACCAAGCCATGGCTGCTTGAGATATATTGCTGCAAATACGTAAATACGGACGATCAAATTGGCCACCCCCAAAGAACAAATTAGAATGTACACCGTAACCCAAGCTATCAAACCATGGGTTGCTGTATCATTTGATATTTCTAGAATTTAGGAGACGCAGATTCCGAATCTCAGGAAGAGTTTATGGTGCATATGCCATTGCTTTGAGGTGCAATTGATATTGTTGGTTTGTTTAAAAATTGTCGATTGACTTTTCCCCCCTTTCAAGACAAATTCTGCACCACGTAATCAGACGGTCAACCCACGCGAAGACAAAATAATGTTGCAGCTGTAAGTAGCAAATACGAACGGTTACGAGCGACGAAAACCACTTCGGTTAACCGTCATAATTCTAAACAGTCGTAATGTTTATTTGTAAAAAATATATAAAAATACAACGAAACTTTTTTTTCCCTAAAATAAAACTCTAAACTAGTGGGTCACTAGTGTAACAAGCAGGCCACGTGACCTCGTGCAAATTGCATTTGTGTTTGCACTGTGGGACAAACCAAATACTCACAAGAAATTTCACGTAAATAAAATATTTAACAAAAACAACTATTTGAACAAACCCCCGTGGCCAAAACTTTGACATTATTTCACGTCTCCCAACCAGCACAGACTTGTTTGCACTGTAGCACCCATCCAAATAAACCCTGAAATGCAAAAACATTTGTACAAATTACTTTTTTTTTCAAACTTTAACGATCACAGCAGAGATTTTCAAAAATGTTCAAGCCATTTTCTCCAATGTTAATAATAGCCAACGTATTCATGCTAAATGCTAAACATTATTACTCTTTTGCAAGCAGAACGATACACAACCCGATACAGCATGTTGTCAACCTACAATTGCATTGGCGATTATTGCTCACGAAGCGCTGTTGAGGACACACGTGTAAATGCGTCGGTTACGTAACATCAGCAGTGACGAATGGAAACGCGATGACGGTGACGACGATGGGAATCTACCGATCGTATCAACGATTACAATCCGGACGGCGAGGATGATGATGATGATGATGATCATGGATCAATGATCCTCACCGTCCCCGGGGCAAAACCTGGGCTGGACACGGCAGCTGCCGGAGTGTCGGGCAGTCCTGCCCATGGGGGTCAGTGGGGGGGCAACTCTTGTTCACACCGAGGCAAAAGTCAATGACACATCAGAGCCCATCCATCAGCTCATTCCAGGCAGGCAGTGACGTCGCATTCCTAGCGAAGGGTCCCCTCGTTGAAGCTCGCTCCGTCGCTCCTTGAATTGAGGCTTGGGGGGGAGCTTGGACAAGTGGCGAGATGAGCGACAAGAGGCCTTAGGGAGTGGTCCACACCATTGTGGCTCCTCCAATAGAAAAACAATGTCCGCTGGTTCAACCGTGACGTGTCAAAGTTCACAACGGTTGACACTTGTACATGTGCCAGAGGTCGCAAGCGGGTTTTGATTCCTTAACAGAAATCAAAGTGTCACCATTGTCAAATACACACTTGACGGTTCTCATCGCAATCGAAGGACCTCGAGGGCGGAAATTACACATTTATTGGCAGGCACCGGTCTCTGCATAGGATGCCTATTCTATTTAGGATGTATAGCAAGGTTGGCTACGTACTGTGCGAAAGAAGTTCAATATACACACATGAGGATTACAATAATCATACGAGAATAACGTGAATAATTTTGTCCGGAATAGCCTCCTTGAGTCTCAAGATATTTGTGTTGAGAATACTGCATTGGGATGCTGCGATGACATTAACAAGTGCCTGGAGAAGCTTCCTGACCCTCACGTTTCACGGTCGTCCCTTCTTCACGCTTCACCGTCACTCCCGGCCACGTGGCGAAGTCGTCGTAGTCTTCCTGTTCTTGTTTTATGAGAGATGATGGGCTCATGGCAGCTGAACTTTGACCTTCACGAGTCGATTTCACACTCTCCTTGTGGATCTTCTCATGCATCGTTCGGCTTCCTGACCAAATAAAACCCTTCCCACACTCTGTGCACGTGAATGGCTTCTCGCCTGTGTGTGTTCTCTTGTGAATTTGAAGGTAGTTTGAAGAGGCAAATGCCTTCCCACACACAGTGCACTTGAAGGGCTTCTCACCTGTGTGCGTTCTCTTGTGAACTAGAAGATAGTTTGAACGGGCAAATGCCTTCCCACACACGGTGCAGGTGAATGGCTTCTCACCTGTGTGTATTCTCTGATGATATTGAAGAGTTTGTAAGAGAGCAAATGCCTTCCCACACACAGTGCACATGAATGGCTTCTCCCCTGTGTGTGTTCTCTGATGATATTGAAGAGTTTGTAAGAGAGCAAATGCCTTCCCACACGCAGTGCACATGAATGGCTTCTCCCCTGTGTGTGTTCTCTGATGAATTTTAAGATTTTGTGAGGAAGAAAATGCCTTCACACACACGGTGCACTTGAATGGCCTTTCGCCCGTGTGAGTTCTCAGGTGCTGATTCATGTTTCCAGTGCGATCCGTGGTGTACGGACACCGCTCGCATTCGTGCCTTTTAGCGCTGGGCTCTGTCCAGGGTTTCTTCTCCATGCGACTGATTCTGCAGACATATTACATGTTACACACAACGCACACACACACACGACAGAGACAAGGATCCCCCGTGTAGCCTTAATAGACTGTTGGGGCAAGTGCTGTTCGCGAGTAGCAGCACCTATGAAGGCACGAGAGGGTGGGTGGCCAGCGCCACACCTTTGTCTCTTTAGTGGCAATGCTTACAGATCACACCAGCTACTAATTTTAGTCTAAGTCGAC